CCCACCACGGGCCAATGTACACCCCAGGCCCCCCCCCCCCCTCTCTGGTTTAAAAAAAAAGAGACTTGGTATTTCCAACACGCCACGTCCCTTCCCTCTGCCCTTCGAAGGAAAGGTGTTCGCCCTTCTGCTCCGAGGCGGTCTTTGCACGCAGCAGCTGGAGGGCAGAGATCCTACCCGTGCAGCTGGCTCTTGACTCAGAAGTCAGCCCCCCCTGCTCTCTGGGCTTCCTCCGAAAGACCACAGGTTCCTCAGGGAGCTCTCTCCCGACCGCATCCCTCTCGAAGCACCTTCCAGGGCGTCCTGGTGGAGCAAACTTCCCTGGACCCGAGAGCCCGCTCCGTTAGATGAGCCACCCAAAGCGGGCGCCACAAGACGTCCCGAACGCGCGTAACGAGGGTGCGACTCCCCACGGAAGTCGAGGGGATTTCCCCGGCGAATCCGCAGAGGATGCGCTGCAAAGGTCCCCCGACTCGCAAAGGTCGCCAGCCCGCTAGCCCGTTTTGCAACCACCACCACCACCACCACCACCCCGCCTCCGGCATCCAAATTCCTTGCAATTGACAGAGTGCTGGAAGCCTCAGTGGAATAACGAAAACCTTTCCAGCAACCGCAGGAGCGATGATTGAAGCCATGATCATCTCCGACTCTCTCTCTCTCCCCCCCCCCGCCGTCATCCCGCCAAAGAGCCCCCCGCCGCGCTGGCGTCCCCTGAATGTTATCTCTCCCGCCCGGGGCGGGGCTCCTGATAAGGCCGATCGCCTCTTCTGAACCTTCTCCCAACGCGCCGGGGAGTCTCCTCTCCTTATCTCTCCCCCCCCCCAATGCATCCAGCAACCTGCCCTTCCCGCGCCTCCTCCTCCCCCCGGGGACCGCCACTTACTTTCCTCTGGAGCTCGCAGCTGGTGGCGGCAGGGTCCCGGCTTTGCTTCGCTCCAGCCAGCAGGAGGAGGAGATAGTTGAGCAGCACGCAAGCCCCGCCGTTGTACACCACCACCATCCTACTGAACTCCACGCCCCGGGCGCAGATGGGGAGGGGGAGCCCCCGCGGGGAAGGAAGCCGGGCGAGCTCCCGCAACTCCGCGACGAAGTCGAGAAAGTTGGCCCAAAAGTTCCCCCCTGTCTTTTTTTTAAATCGGCGGCCCAATCCAGAGTCATCCCCTGGCCAAGCCTTCCAACCGCTGCCCCCTCCCCTTAAAGGGTCCCCGTGCCGGGCGTCCAGGAGGGGGGCTCGCCATGCCGCGGATCGGGGTGTGGGTGTGTGTTGGGGGGGGGTGGCTGTAAGGGCGGGACTCCCCTAAAGCACCGATCTCCCCCTTCCTCCTCCTCCTCTCGCGGCGTCTCGCCTTCCTCTTGCAAAAAGTTGCTCCGGCGGCGGGCGGCGGAGGCGCTCTCTCCGATTCCTGCGCGCAGGCCCTGGCTGGAGGAGGCACGAAGTCACACTCTCGGTGGGATTGGCCGCAGGAGGTGCCTAACCCTAAACTCGCGCCCGCCGCCCCACCTCCTCCGCCCTCGCCTCCTCCTCCGTCCGTCCCCTCCTCTGCCCTGAGCCACGGGGCCCAGCCGGCCTCCTGCGGCGCTCTCTTGCCCTGGCACTCGCAGGGGAAATGTCCCCCGACGCCGGGGTGACCCAGCCGCCAGGCGGACAGAGGCTTCTCCGGACCGCCAGCCAGTTTGGGAGAAAGGGCGGTGGGTTAGAACGCAGTCGTCGTCCCCCCCCCCCAAGGAACCAAAACGGACCATACCTATGCAATGCAGTGAGCCTTGCTATAAAAATAAAACCTGACCACAAATTAATGAGGTACCAGTTCCAATTTCCGAGCCTTAAAGTGGGATTTCCACGCAGATGCCTAGGGAGACATGGTAATGTCCTCATTGAACCCGGTTTCATAGAGAACAGACAACCATCACTAACCCTTGTCAAGCACCTGGCAGGGACAGTCCTGATCCAGGGAGGGGAAGGCACGCAGGTATGCCTTTAGGTATTGATATCCAGGGGTCATTTAGTAGAAAAAGAGGTGCAGGGGCTCATTAGCATAACTCAATAGCATAACTTATTTGCATATGCCACACCCCCTTTTCTTGTTGCTATATATCCCCAAATGTGTGATCTAACAAAGATAAAGTTTTTGCAAAGTTATGGATAACTCAGTGGCTGAATATGATAAGCAAAACCAAAAGAAAGAGAAACTTTTGGTAATGTACTCATTGAAACCCATCAAACAAGTCTTCTCAACACTAGTCTGAGTGGGCTTCAGCATCCCAGCGATGTGAGAGCAGGTGTGGCATAGTGTTGGACTAAGATTCTTGGAGTCTGGAGTTCGAATCACCCCCCCTTCAACCATGGAAGCTTGCCGAATGACCTTGGACCTATTACATATTCTCAGCCTGACCTACTTCACAGGGCTGTTGTGACCAAATGAAGGAGGGGAGAAACGATGCCCTAAGCTGTTTTGAGTCCCAACCAGGGAGAAAAGTGTGATATCAACAGGGGTCATTTCCTGCAGGAGCGGAGCTCTGGCAGTAAAGAACCCAGGGGGCGGGCACATGCAGCAATCCCCACCCCCTGCTCAGTCGGCCAGGAGGAGCAAGAAACATCCAGGTAAGTTGCAGAGGCCCCCTCCCTTCAGGTACAAGCTCTCCCTCCTCTGTGAGGACAGATCTGCATGTCCCCCCCCCCCAATAGCTCCCAACCCAAAACACTCCATTGGAGCC